GCCAATAGAGCAAGTTACTCCCCTTGCGTCCCGTCTACAGCGAAGGGAACGGAGCCTCTACTGAAAGAAAAAGTATATGTATGTATAAATACACACACACACACACACACAAGGTGTATTACACACATAGGTGTATTACCATCAGAGATGGTAAATCGTGCCTCACAGGTTTAATAGAATTTTATGACCAGGCAACGAAAATTAGGCAGGAAAGAGAAGGGTGGGCCGACTGCATTTTCCTGGATTGCCAAAAAGCCTTTGACACAGTACCCCGCAACAGAGCCGTCCTCCATGCCCTCTGCTCTTAAAGAAAAGGAAGAGTCCAGGGGAAAGGCAGCAAGAAAGGGCCGCTGGTAAGACCCAGAAGCTTTGGCAAGAGGAACAGGCTCGAAAACCTCCATACCAAACCCGAACGGGGTAGCCCCTGAAACCGCCCGAGTCTTGGCCCTAACTAAACCCTGCCCTGACCCCGAAACCTGCAGATGGTCAGGAGCCGGGAACAGGAAGGGAAAAGGGCGAACAGCACCTAACCAAAACGGGGCGGCCCCGGGGCATCCGAGTGGGAAAACAACCTAAACCAAGCTTGCAACATGAATGCCGCGTGTACTCTGAACAGTAATAACATCAGGAGAGTACCGGAGAACAAGCAGAGAACACAGCATGCAAGACTCCGGGTCAAGGTGTCAGCGACCCAACAAGCAACATGACGGAGGTAAAAGTGGCGACTGTCACCCGGAGACAAGGGCACAGCAACCAACGAACCCCCCGCACGAGATGGGTTGGAACCCGGAAGACACATTCAATGGTCCACCGAGCCCCGACAGAGTTTTCAGGGGCTTGTAGGGTAACAACTATGGGAAGCCCTGGGAAACTGTTGCTAACCGGTTAAAACCCAAAACTAACAAGAGGAAGAGGACAACACTGAAAACCGTTGCAATGTGTACAATCACAGGGGCCTAGCAGAGGGCCACCAAACACTACCAGTGGAACCATAACCACATTAGGCAGACCCCCACCAGGCAAATGAAAATAAAAACAAAAGAAAAACCCCACCAAAGTACACCGTCCCCAGAGGGAACAGGAACCGGTCGCCGCGTAGGTGGCAGGTCGCGCAACACCTTGACTCCCTAACCAGTACAAACAATACCAGTCCCTACCCAAGGCCAAACAAGGGTCTAAGCCCCAGCTGGCCCCAAGGGCGAGGCAAATGCCGAGCAGCAAGAACCTCTACGAGAATGGTTCCCGAACACCCCAGGGAAGATAACCCTGTCGCACAGGGATAGAACTCACAGGGTTCTTAGGGAAGGAAGCCCTTTAGCGCTTGCAGCCCCGGTACTGATGAGGAACACCTGGCCATTGCACAACACAACACACGGCAGTGAACGCCACGAAAGGCAAACACCGCCTAGGAAACTGAGGCCAGAGAAGTGTCTGTCCCGGTTGACATTAGCTTACGAATTGATGCTAGGCAGCCGGTGCGGTGAGATCCGGGGCCCCCCCTCCCCCTCTTGGGGCGGGGAGGGCTGCGCAGACAATCAGTGCGGCAGTAAAGTGTGATGTTTGCTTGTTTCCTTGTTTCCATGGGATTGTAGGGAGTTTCTACCTCTCTGGTCGGTTTTCTGTTTTAGTTTTTTACCATGTGGGGTGTGTTTTATTATGCCAACCTTGCTGGATGCCTAACCCCGGTCAATGGCAGATAAGGAAAACCCCAACCACAAGGGGTTTTCCAGGGCCATTGCTCCCTGAAACCTCTCTGAAGGGGGCCAGGTTCTGGCGTTGGTCTCTAGTAGGTCTGAACTCCTTAGCTAATGTCCCGGTCTAATATAACATACATTAGCCTGATAAGCTCCAGGGAGCCATAGGGGCTTCCCACAGAAAATTTTCTAAGGTCGCCATAATGTCCTTAGGTTTTGTTTAGTAGTCAGGTTTTTCAGCTGCTTCATCCTCCTTATTTTCTTCCAAATTATAATGCATTGCATACTTTATTCTCAAAAAGACATGGTCACTTTTACCCAAAGGAGGAAGGTACCGAATGTTAAATATCTCCTCCTCCTCCCTGGTAAATATCAAATCTAGCATGGAGGGAACGTCCCCTTCCCTCATCCTTGTAGCTTGTTTAACATGTTGATACAAGAATATTTCCAGGATGAGGTCTACAAATCTACAAGTCAAAAAATACTCTGTTCTAGCTTCATATGCTTCCCAGTCTATGGATTTCAAGTTGAAGTCCCCGGACTATCAACAGTCGTGATCTATATTTATCCGTTTTCGCTATAATCTCTCTCATTATTGTTATAAGACCCTCTCGTTTACTATCTAGCTCCTCCTTTGTCCATGTGTTGATTGGCGGTGGACTATATGCATTTATGATCGTTAGTTTATCATCCTCATGGCAGATCTCTAGTGTTATTATGTCAACTTCTCATGGATTGGCAATCATTATTTCGTTCACCTTTAGGTGTTCTTTCACCAGCACAGCAATGCCACCGCCTTTCCTAATTTTTCTGTCCCATCTCCAAATTGAGTAGCCCCTTGAGAATATGACATCATTTAAAATAACATCTTCAAGTTTTGTCTCCATAAGTGCAATAATGTCTGGTGTCTGTAGCTATATTACATCACTTAACTCCAGTATCTTCGATCTCACTCCATCTACATTGGTGTATACTATTTTCAGGAACATGTTCCCCTTCTCCTTATTCTTTACTACCCCTCTCTCTAGCAATTTTGTTGGTTTGCCTTTATGTACCATTTTACTGGCCTGCCTACCCCTATCACTTTGTAGAAAAAAGGATTGATTTCTTCTTCATTTCTGTTCTCATTTAGAGGTTTTGCCTCTACGGTTTAGTTTCAGCTTCTCTCTGTCTTCTCTTAAAAGATATCGTCTTAACTACCACACTTTCCCATCCTCATCACTTTGCTGCAATTTTCTAGCATTCCTTAGTACTTCTTCCATCTGTTTGGCACTGTTTAGAGTGATCCTCAAAGGTCGATTTTTCCCTTTTACTTACCTGCCTATTCTCCTGTAGTTGCACACATTCTCTATGGTAGTAAGACCTTCCACCAGGTCAACAATTTTATCTACTACTATCGCTTCTTCTACAGCTCTTTCTGACCTAGATGTTATCTCCTTTCCTTTGTAACCAAACATTATCAGGTGCTGATGTGGAGGAGTTGGTGGAGGAGCACAGCGAAGAACTGACCACTGAAGAACTCCTAGCCCTTCACAATGAGCAGCAACAAGAGGCAGCTGAGGAAATTTCTTCAGAGGTGGAAGAGGCAGTACAGAGTGTCCCTTCCTCAACAATTAAGAAGTGGTGTAGACTATGGGAAGAAATGCAAACTTTTGTTGAAACGACTCGCCCAGAGCAAGCTGTAGTAGGCCATTGCCTTAATCTTTATAATGACACTGTGATGCCTCACTACAGACAAGTGTTACAACGTAGGGAAATCAAGTCTCTACGAAAAGTTTTTAGTGAGAAAAACAAGCAGTGATTCACAACCAGGTCCTAGTGGTATTCCTGCAAAATGTAGGAGAGAGCGTACACACAGAGAAGTCATTACTGCCTGATGCTATAATGGAAGGGGACTCCCCTTCCAAACACTAACGCTTCTTCTCCTCTCCCCCCCCTCTTCACCATCTTCCGTATGCCAACAAGAGTCATCAATAAAGGTAAGCTATAACTTGTACATACTATAGTACTAAATATTTGTGTGAATTAGGTATGAAATGTATTTTGAAGTTAATATTTTTGGGTGTGGAACGGATTAATTCAATTTACATTATTTCTTATGGGAAAATTTGTTTCGGGTTGCGAATTTTCGGCTTACAAACTGTTTCTGGGAACAGATTAAATTCGTAAATGGAGGGGCCACTGTACTGTATATGGTATTGGATCTTTACTGTCATTGGGTCACACCTGGTGTCACTAGCAAACTGTGTATAGGCTGCTGACCTGGAACACACAAGTTATTCTAGCTATTTATTGATCATTTACATAATCCTTATGGAAATTGAAGAGATGATCCTGTCCTCTAGTACAACAGATTCAACCATGTGGATTGATAACTCTTCCATACAGAGGAGCTACCAACACCTTGAACAGCCCAGCACACAGTGGATAATAGTCTCTGCCTGCTTTGTTGATATTCCAACACTGGCAGAAATTTTAATTGTTTTTGTTATTTCCTATTCCAGTTCATAGGGCATGTATCTAGGTTTCTGTATTTAACACATTTTAATAATGTTTTCAATCGTTCATTGTTGACGATGAGTTGCAAAAAAAGCGTAGCTGAAGATATGATGACCAAACTACACATCAGAAGATGAAGAAACGATGACGTTTCGGTCTGTTTTGCACCATTATCAAGTTGTGTATTAGGAAGAGAGGAAGGAACGGGCCAATAAGTAAGGAAAGAGTGAGGTGAGGCACAGGTTAGAGAAGGTAATATCTAGAATGTAAGGGAGAAGCATAATCACTAAAATAGAAGGTAAAGTTTAAGGTGAGGAACAGGTAAGAGAATAAGGTTAGAGTATGATGAAAGGTAAAAATAGGATGAAAAGTACGAATGGGATGAGTATAATAATGGGATGAATAATGCGTTAGTCACAAGTGAAGAGTGGAAACGAATTCTGATTGGCAAGAATGAGTTTCATGTGATTAGCTAAGGCTTGGTGGTACCTGTGCTTAAGCTCCAGGAACTACTAGAAGCCCACCACAAAAGGGCATTTCATTACATTCATCACCTGATTATTAATGTGTTTATACTGCAAGCTATTTCTAGCATAGGAACTGGGAAGGCCTTCCTTGATCAGCTATAATTAAAACATGTCTAGTTTAGAATGTTATTAATCTTTTCAAGTTTACTTATGTAATCAGAGGTATATTGTGCATAATTCATGGAACAGTATCAAACACTATATACAAATTATAATACAGTGTACTACTGTATATAATACAGTATATAAATTGCCTTAATATATGTATGGTGCTTTACAGGATGACACTAAAGAGGAAGCGGCAACCTTGGAAAAGGTGAGTATTGAGGAAATTTTGGAAGCACAGCGTGTTGAACAAGAACGTCGGCAAGAGCAAGAACAGCTTAGGGCACGATTTATGAAAGAACGTGGACTCCAGTACACTGCCGAGATTGGACCTGATGACATGTATTAAAACTATTCAACCAATAATTGCAATTTAAGAGGCAAGCATTATGATTTCATTACAGTATTTCTTTTCCAGTAGCACTTAAGAGTTTTGCTATTTGAAGAAATGGATTTGCAGTAAGATTTGATGTTTTACAGATTAGTTACAGACAATATATGACTGAGTGGCCATAGTTCACTTGGAACTGTGGAATGACCATCTAGTATAGTTAATGATAGGATTCTACAAGTTGTTGTGTTGCAGATTTCTCGTAGTGACTTTGTCTTGAACATGAGGTGCAATATTATTTATATTGTTGAACACTAATATTGTTAAACACCGTTTATTTTGTTTTCTTTTAAATTATTTGTTTTCAAGTGAACAAGTAATGTACTGAGCCTCTTCAATAAATGACTGTACAGTATATAAATATACTTATATATAAACATACTTATACTTTATTGTAAAGAGAAGCTATTTTCATTTATTACTGACCTCCATTCATCCAAGTTATAAGGTTACTTAAAGTTCACAAGTAATGTACAGTACAGTACTTATCTAAATTTTAAGTACAGTAATATTTTCCCTACCAAATAGTGATCAATAAGGACAATAAATTGGCATGACATATACTTTTGGTTTAATTTGGCTCCATGTCAGTTTGTATACATCTATTTGTTGGGTAGATTAGGAGTGAGACTATGTATTATACAGGAAATATAATGCATTTCTTGATGAATTTTTTTTTTTTATATAATACAGTAATTATATGTTATATAAAGGTGAACGTTTCCAAGGACAATTACAATTTTTTTATTAAGAAAATTAAACCACATTACTCGTTTGAATATTTATTCAACATGTAAATTGAACCAATATGGTTGCATGCAAAATTATCATCATTTGACATTCATCACATCTGATCATATTTTTGTAATGCAGTTAAAGTGAAAGCCATTAAAAAGGAAAGATTAAAATTACCATTTTTATATTCCTAAGTAACAAATGGTTATTTTAGTTGAGGAACTCTAGTTCATTAACATTACACACGTAACATAAATATGGTGTGGAAATAACATCTCACAAGAATTGTTAATCTGAAGTGAAAATGACTGGCTAAATGTGGACTTAAAAGCCGAAACACTACACGTACTAGTGGCTGTACAAGAAAAAAAAATAATGAGAGAAGTATTTTGTGTTGGTTTCATATCCTGAAAATAATTTGAAATGGCTTAAGATACTGTGGAATAGATAGCACAAATGTGACAAATAGGTGCATTCTCGACTCGCTGTCAGGAATTCTGGGCTGAAACCTGGGTGGGACTGAAATGGTTGAACACATTTCTTTTCACCTAATGCATCTATTCACCTAGCAATAAATAGGTACCCTGGAGTTAGTCAACTGCTGTGGGGTTGCATCCTGGGGAAGGTCAGTAGGTTGACTTTGTAGGGACCTCAATATGTGTCTAAAATGTGTAATTACTGTACCTATGTGTAGTTACAGGATGAGAGTTTTGATTATGTCCCTTCTTCCCAGCACTCTTTCTTTCTCATATAACACTTTGAAACCACTAATAGTTTTGGCCTCCACCAACACCTTACTTAACGTGCAGGCGAGCGCTCGGTGACACTAAATATGTATACTCGTTTCAGTTTTCTCACCTTAATTCTCACGCTACGTCGCTCGTTTTGGTATCATTGTGTTCACAATAGAATTCCCTACAGGTGTATATGCATGTAAGGTCCAAAAGCCAAGCTTGACTCCCCACAGCAAAGCCTAAATTCGGGAAAAGTTACCCATGAGCGCACAAAATCAGTAAAATGTGCATAATCGTTTCAGTTTTCTCACTTTAATTCTCGTGCTACATCGTTCGTTTTGGTATCAATGTGTTCGCAATTAAATTCCTTGCAGGTGTATATGCATATATAGCCCAAAAGCCCAGCGTGACCCCTTTAGCAAAGCCTAAAGTTACCCATGAACGAGAACCAATTATCACATCCGCAATGAAATGTGTATACTGTACTTGTTCAGTTTGATAACATCAATTTTCGTGTTACATTGCTCGTTTTGGTATCAAATTGTTCGCAATATAAAGGCGTGTATTTTAAAACTAGCCCCATAATAATAGAGCAATAACTGGAATTTTAACAAATATTTTAATTTTGGACGCTCATCCTCACAAAATTATTTATATCTTTCCAGTGTTCTGACATAAAATTTTGTGTTACATCTTTAATTTTAGTATCAAATTGTTCGCAATGTAAAGGCGCACATTTTTAAACTAGTCCCATAATAAAAACACAATAAATAGAATTTTAACAAATATTTTAAATTTTGACCAAAAATACATTTATTATCTTTCAAGTGTTCTGAAATCAAGTTTTGTGTTACATCTTTCATGTTGATATCAAATTGTGCGCACTCTAAAGGTGCTCATTTTGAAACTATGCCGAAGTCGATCGAATAGAAAATGAATTTTATACAAATATTTTTTGTTTTGGACGCGAGCAGTGTCCAAAGCTAGGACACGAGAGAAAAAAAGTGGACACGAGAGGTGTCCAAAGAGGGCGATAGTGTTAAATGTCACATTCCATTGCCACGCCACTTGTCCGTGCAGCTCTCCCCTCCTTGAGAGGGGGAGGGGGAAGCCCGGACTTCCCCACGCCGGCTACTCAGCCCTTCAGTTTGGAAGCTAAGCATCAAAAAACGCAAAAAAAATGCCGACTGGAGGGATGGGGAGGTTACCAGGGAGCCTCTGGGGCTCACCCAGAAATTGGCATTTCATTACATTCAATGCTGGTTTTCTGTGGGGGGATCCCCTACGGCTCCTTGGAGCTACATAACCAAAGATAAGGAAAAGAGGGACTTGCCCGGAAGGTAGCCGCCACAAACTCTTCAACGCAAAGGCGAGACAACTGGCTGCAACCTACGACCCAAAGCAAAACAGGAACGCCCAGGAGCAGAAACATTGACCAAGGGAACGGGTGGCCAGGACCCTGTTCGACCTACAAAATCCCCGCGCCCTTCCCTGGTGCGTTCGTCATCAAGCCCACACATACTACACCACATAACTACACAGAGACTACCACACTTCCCAGTATCACTTCCAAAACTGGACAAACATTGCCACAACAACACACCCTGGGTCAGGGTAGAGAGGAGGGAGAACTACCAAAACCTTCCATAAGTGACACACAATATGGACAATCATTCATATTTGCAAACATTCAAGGTTTAAGGCCAAAGTCAAGAAATAAAGTTAAGTTCATAAATGGCCTCCTATTAGAGTCAAACTCAATATTTGGGGCATAACTCGTACAAAAGATTACATGGATGGTGAAATCTGGATTCCAAATTATAATTTATATAGATGTGATAGAAAAACTAGGTCAAATGGAGGAGTAGGTCTGTATATTAAAGAGGACCTGGTATGCACAGAGCTACTAAACTCAACTAATGAGGTGGTAGAGGTACTTGGAATTAAGGTAGAAAAATAAACCTAATTATTATTCTAATATATAAACCGCCAGATACAATGGTTGAGGAATTCACAGAGCAGATGCACAAAATAGAGAACATCCTTGATAACCTAGCAAACCCAGCTCCAGATATTATCTTCCTTGGAGATTTCAATTTACCGAGTCTAAGATGGAGAATGGCAAACACAAATATCATAGCAGGGAATGACCCGGGAAATAACCAACCACAGGTCATAGAACTTTTGAGAGACTGTGACAAATTCTTGCTCAATCAACAGATTACAGAACCAACTAGGAACGAAAACACACTAGACTTGTTATTCACAAACAATGATGAACTAATCAGAGACATTACAATCTCAGATACTACATACTCAGACCATAAGCTCATTGAAGTGCGAACTAGCATAAATAACGGTAGTAGGTCTAAGAGACTCAACAAGCGAGAAGGAATATTCAATCAATTCAATTTCAACAATATGAGGATCGACTGGGAAAAAATAAATGTAAACCTTGCAACCATTCAATGGGAGACGGTCTTAAGCGACAAAGCTCCCACACAGGTTAAAAGGTGACACCCCTAGGGTCAACACTTGCAGCAGAGGAGCTCCAGCATATTTCAACAATCCTAAGTATTGTAGTACAGGTTGATGGTAGTGAGTGGTGTCCCAGAGAACATAAAGGTATAGTGCTCTTGAAAAATAGGTGAGATAACAGGAAAGTGCTAAGGGAAGTGAAAAATCGGATAAGAAAAAGTTGCCCTAGTGTTTACAGTGCAGAGAAGAACATTCAAGATGGCCACTGGCAAGGGGAAAAACAAAACAGAGCTTGATTTTGAGGGATTCAATGAAGAAAGCATTGATATTAGTAGTCTACATAACAAGTTGGTAAATTTAGATACTATAGTGAACTCTCATGTAGAAATAATTAGTAAATTGAAAGAAAGTAATGACCATTTGAATAGCAAAGTTTTATGTCTTGAGGGTTTAGTGAAAGACTTGCGCAAGGATAAGAATCAATTGGAAACAAATTGCAAAGCCATGGAAGAAGAAAATAAACTCTTAAAAATAGCTTTGGAAGAAGTTAAAGTAAATTTAAACATAAATGACTACAATAGGTTAGGCAAGGAAATTCAACAGGAGAAACAGCTTTTGTCAGCACAGATGGAGGAAGTTACACAGGGAATAGAACAGTGCAAGAAAGATATGCAACTCACTTATGCACAAGTGGCCAAGGAGAAGGAAAAAATAGAAGAAGCAGTAAAGGAAGTCAAACACTGCAGCAACCAAGATAAAACAAACATTAGGCTAGAAGTGAGGAAAGAATTGGCATCTAACCCGAAGTTGGTGCAAAACACAGTTGATCGGAGTAAGTCCCTGATCATTTTTGGCTGCAAAGAAAAGGCGATAACATCTAGGTCAGAAAGAGCTGTAGAAGAAGCTAAAGTAGTAGATAAAATTGTTGGCCTCGTGGAAGGTCTTACAAACAGAGAGAATGTGTGCGACTACAGGAGAATAGGCAGGTACGTAAAAGGGAAAGATCGACCTTTGAGGATCACCCTAAACGGTGCCAAACAGATGGAAGAAGTACTAAGGAATGCTAGAAAATTGCAAAGGGATGAGGATGGGAAAGGGTGGTCGTTAAGACGAGATCTTTCAAAAGAAGATAGAGAGAAGCTGAAACTGAACCTCGCCGAGGCAAAACATTTAAATGAGAGCAGGAATGAAGAAGAAATAAATTCTTTTTTCTACAAAGTGATAGGGGTAGGCAAACCAGTAAAGTGGTACATAAAGGCAAACCAACAAAATCAATAGAGAGAGGGGGAGTGAAGAATAAGGAGAGGGGGAACAAGTTCCTGAAGATTGCATACACCAACATAGATGGAGTGAGATCGAAGATACTGGAGTTAAGTGATGTAATACAGCTGCAGACACCAGACATTGTTGCACTCACGGAGACAAAACTTGAAGATGTAATTTTAAATGAGGTCATATTCCCAAGGGGCTACTCAATTTGGAGACGGGACAGAAAAATTAGGAAAGGCGGTGGCGTTGCTGTGCTGGTAAAAGAACACCTAAAGGTGAAGGAAATAATGACTGCCAATCCACAAGAAGTTGACATAATAGCACTAGAGATCTGCTATGAGGATGATAAACTAATGATGATAAATGCATATAGTCCACCGCCAAGCAGCACATGGTCAAAGGAGGAGCTAGATAGTAAACGTGAAGGTCTTATAACAATAATGAGAGAGATTATAGCGAGAGCGGATAACGATAGATCACGACTGTTGATAGTCGGTGACTTCAACTTGAAATCCATAGACTGGGAAGCATATGAAGCTAAAACAGAAGATTTTTGGACCTGTAAATTTGTAGACCTCATCCTGGAAACATTCTTGTATCAACATGTTAAACAAGCTACGAGGATGAGGGAAGGGGACGTTCCCTCCATGCTAGATTTGATATTTACCAGGAAGGAGGAAGAGATATTTGAC